CGGCTCCCTCCCTCGTTCCCTGTGAGGAGGGGGCACAGGGCGGTGGGGCTTGACAGAGGCAGGCCCAGGACACACCGGGCACCCTCAGAACCTTTCCCTTTCTCAGCCAAGTCCTGGAGTGTCAAGGGGGACGGCCAGCCGGGAAGGGAAGGGGTGGTTCTTCCTCCAGCCAGGCAAGCTGGAGCTACCTGCAGGGACGCTCTGCTCACATCTACCCTCGGAAGATTCAGGCCCAGTCTCAACCCTTATTAGAAGTGGCGCTGACCCGCCCAGAAGAATTCTAAGGTGTCTGGGCAGCACCTGGGAGGTGCCCAGTCTTTTGAAAGGATGGTTTGTTGAAGTATCAACAATTCTTCCGGATTAGAAACTCCTCATCTGGCCAAAGGTCTACATTCCAAACTGTTTACTTTTGGCAAAACGCTTTTCTGAGACCTTGGTTAGGAAGTTCTGAATGTGCTTTAAGTATTAGCTCGCTTTGGACCAGCAGTTCTAACACAGAACAGGCTGAAAAAAGAGAAAGGAACGGTCTGAAAAAAAGAAGTTGTGCTCAAAGCCCCCCTAATTGTGAGGTCTGGGGGCCTGGAGAAGGGGAGCCCCAGTTCTGAAAGTCACTGCCTGTGCAGACCGCTTCCTTTCAGGACTCTCTCAGGTTGGCCTGACCATGCTGAAGCCACACCCATCATCATTCTGGAAAGCCCTCAGGTCACACTGTGGTCCTTTTGTTGGAGATTATTGTGTGTTGAAACAGTTCTAAAGTGGCCTCTGGTCTCTCCTGGTCAGCGTTTGGGTGTCAAGTCCAAGGCCAGCTGTTCACATATCAAAGACAAAGGCCGTGAAGGAGCTGGGTCAGAACCACCTCCGTGCTCTCCCGGGAGCTCAGGGAGATAGGTGGGAGAAATGAAACAATAAATGCCTCACGAACGCCAAACTCCCTGCCCACGTCTTTGTTGTCAGTGAACAATGGACAATGAACTCTTTCCTCACTAGGCAGGAGAGGTGCCCTTGGCAGAACCACCAGCATTACAAGTTTCCGTTCCTTGGGTTCCGGGGCATTCGCAGAGCCCCACACACAGGCTGTGACGCCCAGGCCCCCTGCACTGCTGCACGTCTTGGTCTTTACTCTGTAACGAAACGCACCACCGTGGCCAGGGGGCGGGTCACCCTGTGAAGAAAACGGGTGTTATCTCTGCAGCATCTCTGCTTCACCTCCTGCCTGGAAAGAAAGAAAGAATGTTCCAGAGGAAAAATGCAGTTGGAAGGAGGAGATGTTCCATGGGAGGGAAGAGGTGGACAGAAACTCCGAGAAAGCAAGCTGAGCATGAAAGCACTGCTCTTGGTAAACACCAGTAACTTCTGTGCAGGTCTTGCCAAGAAGGAGCTCTGGGGTGCATCTCACCCATTCAGTCTTTGCTTTTCTGAACAGCTTTTTTCTTGCCTTATTTGCACACTGTCTCTGACAAGCCACAACTGGCACTGGTTAGTTCAAAACCAAAGGGACAGAGAAGCCAGAGTGACTAAAGAGGGGAAATCTTGTGGGAGCCCCACAGTGGCCCGGGGCCCTCCAGGATCGAGGTGGGGGCTACTCCTCGGGTGTCCCTGGTCTCCTGTCTGAAACAGCCAAGGGCCTGGCTCTTCAACCCGGGGACCGTGGCTCTAACCTGCTCTTGTTTTTCTTACTCAGATATCCTCACTCCTCTGCCACCTTTCTGCTTTCATCCAAGAAGGATATGAATTTGCCAATTTTATTCCAAGTTCCGGATGTCTTCTCTGAGGTACTCAAAAAAATTTTTTTAATTGAAAAGAAACCCATAGCTAGTTCCAGGGTGACACAGAATGTGAATGCGAAGGCATGTCCTGTCTCCTTAGCACAGCCCGAGTCTGGAATATCACCAGTGCTCACTAGAGATTTGCTGAATGAGGTGAATGAACGCCACCCTCCTCACCCCGTCCTGAGTGTCTTAGGGCTCCCGTCCACTCATACTAATTAAATAGGCATCTGGTCAGAGCATCAAAAAGGGAAGCCCCAGAAATTCACATGGAGGGATCTCCCCTGAGACCTTCAGGGATTGCGTCTCAGCCTGGGTCCAGAACCAATCCTGGTTTCTGGAGTCTCTAACCCCTCCCATCACCACGAGGATCCCTGTTGTCTCTCACCTACAACCTGCTAAACCCATGGAAGTTCACATTAAGAACTCCTCAACTCCCCCTCACCTCGCAGAAATCCATCACGACTGGTGCTGGGTGACACTCACGGACACTGCCCCCCAGGGGGCTTCCCACTTTGAGGGTGTGTGTGCAGTGGGCACCTGCCCCCCAGTGGAGAGAGAGAACCCTTGGGAACACGAACAATTTCTTCACCTGAAAATCTCAAGGCTCGCCCCCAGGGCTACTGCAGGCAGCACACGAGGCAGTGTCCCTAAAGCACTCGGCACAGTGCCCCACTCACAGCGACAGCCAAGCGTCAGCCCCCGTTAGGGACCAGCCCTCGCGTCAGGGGAGAGATGCTGACGGAGCCCTTTCACTGGGCTGACTACAGATCCAGAGATGAGTAAGTCAGATGCCACCTACACGGAAGAGTGGGCGGACGGGACAGGTACCAGCCGCGGAACGAGTGTCAGAGACGAGGGCAAAGTCCTTGTGAGCGGAGGTGGGACGTCACCTGCGGGCTGGGGGAGGGGTGAGCCGAGATGGGGCGAGGGGATGATTCAAGAGACAGTGGCATCGGCCCTGGATCTGGAAGATCTTATTTCCACCTGCGGGAGAAGAGCCAGGGAAGCAAACACGCAGAGACTGAGCGTGCGGGAAGTGCTTGAAGAACGTCAAGGAATCAGGCCGGCAGGAGCCCGGGGCTTCGGTGGGAGGGAACCGAGGAGGTGGGTGGACCGAGGGCCGGAAGGCAGGAGCCCGGAGGGGACGTGCCAGGTTTACAAGCACAGGAGTGGTAGGGTCGGGGCTGTGTTTAAGAGTCAAGCACCAATCCTCAGACACCCTGGACAGGCAAGTAGGTAAGACGTGCGCGGAGGGGGCCGAGCAGAGACAGGATTGATTGGCAGTTGCTGCAGAACCAACAAGGAGCATTCTAGTCACTCAGTCTGGTTGAACTTATTGAGACAGGTTCTCCCCTGCTACCGAGCGCCTCCTAGTCCCAGGTTTGCTCTGGGTCTCAGTGCACCGTGCCATCCGAGGCATTAAGTCTCTAGGCACCAGCCTGGCAGAGTGGGAGGCGGGGAAGGAAAGCGTTGATGACAAGTGAGAGCCCAACCTCCCCAACCCCGGACTTCAGCGTGTATAGAATTTCATAGTTGCAATATTCAAGTGCGGCCACTAGGTGGAAGGCAAGAGCAGCAGCTTCCTCCGCCTGGCCAATAGGCTGAGCCCGGGAGACCCGGCTCTGGGCGGACCCTACCCCGGAGGGCACAGACCCATTGCTCCTGCCGGGAAGGGGGTCTCAGGTACCTCTCCCTCACCCTCACCCTCACCCCCATCCCCACCTCTACCCTCTCCCTTTCCCTCACGCTCACCCTTAGTCTCACCCTCACTTGGGCTGATCCTCCACCAGTGAGTGTGTGTGGGTGTGTCTGCGTGGAAGAGAGTTGCCCTCACTGATTGGAAGGATAAGGAGGTGTAGGGGGGGCAGAATTTTACCTTTGCCATCTGAGGGTTTGGGCCTGGGCCTGGGAATTAAATCGGCAGACAGATTAACAGGAGAAAAATCATACAAATCTATGTGCTGTAGGCTTTATGTGACGCGAGAGCCTTCATTAGGAAGTGAAGACCCAAAGTGGCAAAACCTGAGTGTTCAGTAGGTTAAGCAGAGGCAGTTGTTGGAAAGTAGCTAACCTGTGGGGAGGCTGAAGGAGGGTAAGAATTGTTTTAACAAGGCCTGTTTGTACAGAATTCTCTCAGCTTCAGCTTCTTGTTCTTGGTGATAAGAATGTTGCTTTCCTCCTGGTATTAGGAGGACCTCTTCTGTATGGGGTTTTATCTCCTGTCTTTATGAAGAAAAGGAGGAGGGTCAGAGCACCCTTCTTGCACCTGCTCCTTTTTCAAAAGTGTCTTAGCTGAAAATGATGCTGAGGCCAAAGTGCGTATTTGGGTGTGCTGCACAGGAACCCGGGATCCCCGTTCTGTTAGGACACCAGGCCGGTACTCACCTCATTTCCTTGCCTGCCACACAGACTCCTTCACATCTGATGCAGCCCCTAGAGTGAGCCGAGAGCACGATGGCCTGCACGTGTGTGCTGCTTCCTTCTGGAGAGAAAGAATGTACCTCGAGGGAGTGGAATGCACTGTCTCTGTGTCTTCCTTACTCCTCCAAGTCAGGGACCTGGTAGCCCTGCAGCCAGCTGGAGGGCCTGGCCCCTGGGCACAGGTGCAAAGGTCCTACCACTTGGCTCCCTTCCTCTCAGGGTGGAACTTTGAACGTCCACTTTCCAAGTGGCTTCTCTGTCCTGCCTAGGGGCAGACTCATGGCAGGGGCGGGTGGGTGTCTTGTGTGTCTGGAGCAGCATACCTTAATGAATACACAGAGACAGCGGGGAGATAGGGTGGGGTGGGGGGCAGGTTGGGGGTGCGGCTCAGAGACGGAAAGACAGGGAGAGGGAGACACACAGCAAGAGACCAGAAGCCAGAGAGACACAGAGAGGTTAGGGGAC